ATAGAATAGAATAGAATAGAATAGAATAGAATAGAATAGAATAGAATTGTCATGTTAAATGTGCATTAATCAACATACATTAAAATGAAATTTCATTGCATTCAACTCTCAAAAGGTAACCATTATGCATATACCCACAACACATATATGACACAGAGAAACACCACAGTCTAGTTCTGATGTATACATATACATGGCGAGAAAAACAAATATTGTGAGTTTATCAGACGGATGGCATAGGGAACAAAGCTGTTACAGAATCTGGTAGTCCTGCTAGAAATACTTCGAAACCTCCTCCCAGAGGGGAGCAACAGAAACAGGCCATGAAGTGGGTGTATGGGATCTCTAACAGCACTTCGGGCTCTAAGCACATAGCGCTTATAAGCAGTTTCTTGAATAACAGGAAGCAAACTTCCTATAATCATCTCAGCTGTCCTCACCACTCTCTGCATGGACCTTCTATTTGGGGCACTGCTGCCACCAAACCAAACAATGATGCAGTTAAACGCTCTCAATCATGCCTCTGTAAAAAGTGACCAGGATAGAAGGAGAAAGTTGCGCTCTCCTCATCTGATGCAGGAAATTAAATGCTGGTTTGCACTTTTCACTAAAGATAATGTATGAAGAGACCAAGTCAGATTGTTAGTTATCTGCACCCCAGATACTTGACCATCTCCATAGCTGTAGCCTTGATACAAAGTGGAGCATGACTATGCTGGCTCTTTCTAAAATCTACAATGATTTCCTTTGTTTGGTTAACATTCAAAACCAGGTTATTTTTTTTATTAATAACTAACATTATTCTAAGAAATATCATCAAATCCACCATGGATTGTTTATTTTTCCTCTTCCTTCCTTTGCTTTTGCAACTTGCCTGTGAAAGTGTCCTCTTTCTGGAACTCTTAGAAAAGCTGCGAAACTTTTAGAGGACATTAATAATCATGAAAAATATTGTTGAGAAATGTCTGTGCTGATCAGATCACTTTCTAGGCTCTTCCTTTGACTGCTGGTGGCACCCACATTGAAAGCCAGCATGGTAATATGCATGCTCCAAATTAAAGGACCAGAGGACCGCCGATTAACTGGTTGATTAATTTTGTGCCATCAAGTTGTTTTCGACTTTCAACTTTCAACTTTCTTCCTTTAGTAATCCCTGATGAAAGATACAAGAACTTCCTGATCAATGAAAGACTCTGCTCATTTGGGAATGTTATATTAAAGAAGCTAGTCCATATTCTAATCTCTCCTTTATAGGGTTATTCGCTGAATCTAGATAACAGCCTCCTAATACAAAACATCCCATTTGTATTCAATATATTATATGTACATTATCTACTTGCAGATAAAAATTTTAATATGGCAGGGGAAGAAGCCTAATTTTGTTTGGCAGCCTGCCAGATACTGCTGCTTTCAGGAGGATCATAAATCAAGACAGATAAGAATTATTGCTTTATGTATTGTTTTCATGGACATTTAAATAATTGACATTGGCCTGTAACAGTAATAAAGAAACAGATTGTCTGGCTGATAAATCTGGTTATACCTTAAATGTTTTAATAATTTAGCAGTGTGTTAATATAGCATTTTGGCATTTCAGTCGTTTGGTATATTAGGATTTTAGTATTTCATTTGTTTAGTAATTTAGTCTTAAGAATTTTAGAGAGTTTTTTCTTTGATTCTTTTTTCCTAGTATTTTAGATAATTTTATGAATTTGATATTTGAGATTGTTCTGCGTTAATCTGCATTATTGATTTAGAGAGGTCTTTAAGTGTTGTAGCTCTGTACAGTCTTGATCAGCGGCCATAAAATGAGTGATGAATAAAAGTCATTGTACGTGGGAAAACCTACTTTGGAAAGACATTTGAAGGAGAGTCCCCTAGGCCATTGGGTATAGTTGAATTCAGTCACCATAAAGAGATGCACAAAGTACACTTGTCTTTGACTTATGACCTTAACTGAGCCTACAGTCCTAAATAATAATGGTTATAAACTGGATCATCACATGACCCGATCCAATTTTATGACTTTTTTGCAGTGATTATTAAGTGAATGCTGTGGTTGTTCAGCAGATTTATTGTACACTATGGGTGGGTTCCCTGCACCCCCGGAAACTGGAAAAAAAATCATAAATAACACACACATGACTGTGAGACTCTCCAAATGGCCATAAATTCAGGCCAATTGCTGAGTGCCAAAAAATGTGGTCGTGTGACTGAGTCCCATCCCCACTTGTTGGAACTTCAGAATTGGTCATAAGAACCTTTTGGGGTGGGATGCGGTTTGTTGTAACTTTGAATGGTTGCTAAGCGACCAATCGTAAGTCAAGGACTATCTGTAATGAAAACTGTTGCACCACAGATGGCTGCCCCATTTTTAAGAAAAGATTTACCATTGTCATAAAGTAGCACAAAATCTGCGGCAAGTAAGCCGAGCTACATGACATGACTTACGTTATGAGGAAATTGTTAGATGTCAGGTCTTTTCGCTTACAAAACAAGAGGAACTGGTCAATACTTAATGTGCATCTTTTGTCTGTGTTTTTTTTTGGGGTGGGTGGGTGGGTTGTACTAACATCTCCTCCAGGATAGGCAGCAGCAAAGAATGACAATGATAGAAACAACAAATGTTGCTCCTTCTTGGGCAAGTGGGTGGGTGGGGAATTACTGTTACTGGGCTGGATATCTTGAGTTGATAAAAAGAGCTGCCCTGGTTGGAAAAGATGACAAAGTGGTCCTTTTAGCAGCTCCGGTGATACATCTCCATTAGGGGCTCCCTCGGCAGCAGGAAATAGTTATTGATTTTCTTGCTGATGGGAGGAGATGGCTCAGCCAGGTGGGGCCCTGGCTTCCTGGGTGGGATTTGATATTCTTCACTGGCCACATAGCTTCTGCAGCAAAGCAATTTAAATGCAAATATTTCTCCCTGGAGTGTGTGAATGAGTTAGCCCAGCCTGGCCTTCACTCATTATCCCAATTGGAGAAGAGGTATAGCTGCTTCATCAGCATCATCTTTGGCAGGGCCCCATTGCTACAGAAACTCCTGCTGATCATCAGATGTGCTGGACAGATCAACAGTATACTAATTTCTGTTGTGTCCATGGTGGAGAAAGAACACTGCAGACTGTATCACACACAGCCAATATCAACAGCCAAAGAAATAGAATCTCATTCCCTAGATACTTTCAGAAAAAGATCAAATAGATATTTTATTTAAAAAACAACACAAAACAGCCCTTGAAGCTGTGGAATTGTCATAGAAACAAGGAATCGAGAATACATTTCACAAGCCGCCCAAGACTGTAGAATTGACAAGAGGTTGCAGTTGTTTGAGATGGACTTTGTTTGGTGTCTGTAGTCCCAACAGATTTTGCAGTTCTGAAACAATATTTTTAACAGTGCCACATCTTCACCTCTCATAAAGCAAATGAATTTGCCTTCTTTAGGATACAAACTCTGAATGTGAATGTGATACATATTTTGTTTACAAAGGATAACGTGGCTCTTTCTGGAGTCCAGAACAGAATCCGGATATTTTATCAGGCAGGATGCTTGATTCTAACCTGTTGGTCAGGTGACAGTCTTATAACCCAGTAAATTATTTCTCTGCTTATTTCTGATTTTATGTATCTTTTTCAGCTTGTGGAAGAGTCATCCTTCTTGACCGTTGATATGCTGGAAACCTGCTTCCCTTATGTGCTGCTGCGAAATGCTTACCGTGAAATCTCCCGAAACTCACTTATGAGTCGTCTCCCTGCACATTGAAAAGCCTTGCCTTCTGGCCATCCACCCGGATTGCCAGCTCATCAATTAGAATATTTGGCAGGAGTGGATAGGAAGGATAATGGATACTTTGTCTCTTTGATCCTTCAACTTATTGTCTAAAGAGAACCAGCTTCTTGAGTGCTTAGCTAATATTTGATGGCCTTTGTTTTGGCCAGTATATTACTACTAGTCTAAATTGTATAACCATTTGATAGTTGCCATCAAAGTTTTCTGGGTATTTTATTGGTAAAATGAGCTATGTTTTACCAGTTGCAGCTTTTGTGGCCTTTTAAAAATGTCTGCTTGGATTGACAAACCCCCAAATAAACCCCAAAATGTTCACTCTAGGGAGAAAGAATAAGTGTAAATATTTTTCAACGTGCATTAATTCTTTCAATTCACCAATTAGGTTGTAAGCTTCTTAGTGTAGGCACCAATTTTGTAAAAAATATATTCTGCACATAAAGTTATAAATGAATGATTATAGTAATCACTCCTGGAAAAGAAACAGCCAACAATCTTGTATTCCACAGAAAATTTAATCAGCCTGATTGTTTTTGTCTTTTTTCACTTGAAAACAATCATAGGAATTGTCAACAAGGAATAGGGAAGACATTCCTTATACTATCTACCCCTTATGTCCTTTCCAGTCAGAATAGCAATTGATGCACTGGTTTGAGATGGATGCTATAGCCCAAAGCATTAAGACTGAACTAATGATAGGGAATAATAAGTTAGGTTTATACTTGCTAAGCCATGGTTTCTTTCACAAACCATCATAGCTGAATCAGACAAAACTAAGAGCCTTGACAGAAGGATGATCCTTTAGTCATGCTTGATATCTTGGGATAATAATAAAATTGAATCTATCCTCAAATTTCTTCATCTCTTTCTTCTCCTGGCCTAATAACACCTAGAAAAGCACACAACTTGCCCCACATGATTCTGAGGATGAAGAAAGAACAATATTTATTTTGTATAATCTGAAAATTCATTGGAATGAACACACAAACACATATTTGGCAACCTTTTAGAAATTCCTATCTAACCTGAGAAACAGGATGACCACAGGTAGATAAAAACAAGTGGGAGGGTAAGCAACTTCCAGTTTCATGCTGGCTTCCCCACTGACTTGGGGAAAGCTGGAAGGGAGTATAATAAATCACTCCACCTCCTCCTCCTTGGCTGACCTATGGAACTTCATGCCACTTTGCTGAAAGGAGGGGGAACAGGGAGTTGTGGACCATAAGGAAAACTTCACTCCCTATGTCCATTCCAGCATTACCCCAAAGGATGCTTCTCTCCGGGGAGCAAGAGAACACCCCCTACTTCTCAGGCATCCCAGTTGAACCCTCATCCTTCTGTCCATGCCCACTGCCCCTAAGAGAATTCATATTTCAGCCTCTGTTCCAAAGCAGCCAATCGTTGTTCACTCATGGAGTCTTGTTGCCAGCCATTTGGATGCAGCAGTGGGAGCAGGAGCGATTTCCATCTTCCTGCTGGCTTCCCCACTGACTTTGCTTGTGGGAAGCTGGCAGGGAGCATTGAAAATGACTCCTTGGCTGACCAGTGAAATTGGTCCACCAGTCTGATTTTAGTAAGATATGTTGCTGAGGAGAGGGGAACAATGGAATGACCACACTATGGACAAAAAAGCAGTGAGAATGACTTCTGATTTCCTGCTGGCTTCCCATTGACTTGTCCAAAGCAGCCAATTCCTGCTTGCCTGTTGGGCCTTGCTACCAGCTGATTGGATCCATATCCACAAAGTGTGGATATAGCCCTCCCATCTTCCCTTGTGCCATGCAGCCTATAGGTTTTTATGAAGCGTGATTGGAAGGCACGATGCCATTGATCTTTCACAAATTTCATTCTCATGGGTATCCTAGCGTTCTTCTGTAAGCTTATTTGAGTTACCTTGGTTCAACAATTGTTGCCCTATACTTTCCAATACAGGCCCAGGAGTTTTAGTAGTATATAGATATATTGTATATAGATAATTCTTGTTTTAAAAAAAATTATAAAGATTTTAAAAATTGTAGAAACACAAAAAATATAAAAAGAAATAAGTTATAAACAGTAAAAGAAAAGGTGAAGAATAACAAAACAAGAAAAAGATATCTAAATAAGCAACTTCTGATATTTGCAAACCTACAAACATGCCAATTACCATGTCTTTCCTCTCATTTTGCATATCATGGTTCCCTTCTTCCCATACACAAAACTTTTTAATCAATAAATCCCACTGGAATATATTTTTAAACAATTGTTTCAGTAATAAGTATATCATTATCCTCTATTGCTTAAGACTTTATTGTGTTCTTCCTGTGAATTACCTTTTTCCAAGCTCTTTCTTCCTGCATATGGCAGAAGAGCTCTGTTTGTATTAGCCTTGTTCAAGTGTACACAAGAACAAAGTTTTATATTAGAAAGGTGAGTCAGAATGAGCCTCAGGCTTCCATGGCAATTTTGCATTGATGTCGAGAGGGGGGCAGGGAGGGAAATATTCTACCTGTCTTATATATAACGTTATCCATTTTTAATATGTCCCACCACATAGTCACCTTCCTTGCCACCCCCTCTCCACTCCCCCATCCCCAAGTTTTTTTTAAAAAAATGCAAGATTTTGGAAACGGGTCATCATTGCTCTCTGGTTTGTAAGTCCCAGCAGTGTGTAAGCCTGGCTTTTAGAAGGGCAAGAAAGAGAATGGCAGACTTTAAGTCAGTGGTGGTGAATCTATGACACGTGTCAAAGGTGACATGCCATAACATTTGAGGTGATATTTCAACATTCACCAACACCTGGCTGAAGGCTAAATCTGTCTCTAGGCTCGTGTCTCGGTATGCATGTTTTAACAATGAAATAGACCGAGACAGGAAACCATTTTATTACAATTTATTCAGGACATGAAGGCAGCAGCTATTATCAAAAGTACAGCCTGTTCTTGTGCTATATTGGAGATGGTGGAGGCCACATGAGAGTGGGGTATGCTCTTTCACAGCCTCTGGACCCTCCAGACATCACATGAGGAGCCATGTCTTTGCGCATCCTTAGCAACCTCCCAAAATCACATAAGAGTGAAGTGTGCTTTTATGTGATTTTGGGAGGCTGCAGAGGCTTGGGAAGACCATTTTCTGAAACAGCTTTAAGAATAAAGGCCTCATGCGACCCGGAACAGCCTCCAGTAGGCCACAGGGCCTGTCCACAGGAAGGGAACATCGCCTGAAGGTAAGTGGTGCATGGCAGATATTGGGGAGCACTGAACTGCATGCCAATTTCACTGTTTCCCAAGGCTCACATTATGCCTTGTAAAATGGCGTGAGGCAGTCCTTTTGAGTGACAGCAATGGCGCTGGACTAAAATCGAGGCCCAGGCCTCTTCTTCAGGCCCTGTCTTGGTGCTGCCACTGAATGCTCTTGTTCAGGATGGGCTAGAAGGGAGAGAGATAGAGAATCGTTTCTCTTTTGTGTGTGTATGAATGAGTGTGAGACACGCCAACAGATTAAAGTCAGACATTTACCACATTTGTGAACATGCTGAGTCCAAAAGTTTCACCATCATTGCTCCAAGTAGAAATCTATCATCTTCACCTAAAAAAATGATAAATTGTCAGTCTAGACCCTTAAGCATCCTCCTTTGAGTGCCTAAGATGCTCCAGTGCCTCTCGAAAGTTGCTACTGGATTTTTAGATGATGATTATGATACATTTGAAAGAAAAGAAAAACACAAACATGCATACAAAGAGAAGTGGCTAAAAGGAAAAATAAACCTCAAAGTGGATAAGCAAGGAATTGACCACTAATAGAATTAGGTTAATTTTTTCAATATTTCATTGATTAGTTTTAAATAATAAAATATACTATATATAATTTTAAATACTAAAAACCATTATTAAAATCTAAGTAATATATGAGTAGCAATAATCACAGTTAAGAATCACACTAATTTCTAACTGAGCAATTGAATATTTTATCTTAAAAGAAACCCAAATATCGGATGTAATACTTGCCCATACATACAGTGACAATCCAACAATGATTTCTAAATGGACTTAAATTCTGTCTCATTTATTCCTGAAATGTCAAATTTTGGGCATTGAGATGAAGTCCCAGCACTTAATTAACTATTCTTCTACAGAAGAAACTCTGTCTACCATCTAATAGGAAGCATAGACTCTCCTTGCAGCAGTTACTATGTAGAAAGGTAATTGAACTTATTTTGTGAAAATTCCGTAATATATTATTTAAAAAATAACAGAATGGAAAAGAAATTCACTTGTTAAAACCTGTTTCATTCAATTATAAAACATTTTTCAAAGTTGTAATGTCAGGTTGTTATTTTTAATATGGCAGGAGGGGAAATTATCCAATATCTGGTGACTATGCATTATTTACATAGAATATGAATTTAATTACATTTTCATTGTGACTCCACCTATATTTTGCACTGCCTCTTGCTGCTACTCCATAACTACCCTGTTCAAAAGCTGAGGCCCCTCAGAACTGATAGGAAAGAACCAGTTCCTCATGAAGCTGACTTAATTGTTCAAAAATAAAACTTAACCAGAAGTTCTGAAAAGCCTATATTTTATACTTGGTCTGTCTGTCTGAAAAAGGATATAGTTTTAGTTGGGGAAAACAGAGATAAGAGTAACCAATATCTTCCCTAGGAAGATTGTTTTAACATGTTGGTGCTTTTATAGTAGAAAAGCAGACTTGAGAAAAAGGAGAGAAGAGAGTTTTATATACAAGAACATTTTATTTCTTTTTCAGTACTCCAGTACTTGAAAATGAACTCTTAAATGGTTAGGCAATCAGAGAAAAGCAAAGGCTTTTTTTTAATGGAATGATGTTTTACAGCTTTCTATGCCAAATATTTTGTGATAATTTCTGGCATGTTTACATATATTTTTTAAACTGACAACTGTATAGTCTCCTAGCAGCTGCACATGAGAGCCGGCAGTATTACAAATATGTCTCTGATTCTTGTGTACTTGGAGCTACGGATCCTGATGGTGCCACCCATCATCTTGGCCTTTTCTTTTTGGTGCTATTAGGAAAGTAGATCTATTCGGGATCAGACTGGATGGAAGTGATTGGCTTTATGGCCCTCTTTCCAATTTAATTTGGCTCCTAACCACCTAATTCGGCCAAAGAACAAACAGAGAGTACCCTGCTATGTTTCTGGGTGCAGTATATGAACATCTCTTTAATGCTCCTTGTAAGGCTCCTTTTAGTATCTTTCTGGCAATTGAAGGAAAACAGAACATAAACCTCCATGTCCTTTAAAACTCTGAATTCACAGAAGAACAACTAGAAATAGACAAGCCTGAAAATATGAGGTAAAAACTCAGACACAGAATAATTTTTTTTCAACAGTCCTTGATTCAAAGAGAAAAGAGATTCCACCCCCTAAAGAAACTTTTATGCCTTCTCTTCCAATCTAATCACATCCAGCAGTCAAAATGGAGTTATACTTTTAGGTGTTAGCAGCCATATTCCAATAGTTCAGAATAGCCAAGGACAAGCCATTATACATGAGTTGTAAACCTGTCTACTTAAGGCAGACTAATTTCTGTGGGGGAAAGCATCCAGGAAATCCAAAAGAAACAGAGCTGACACAGAGAAACTATAGCAGAACTCTCCTGGGCATATGGATCAGAACAGGAGGTCAGTCTAATATGGGAATCATCAGGCTTAAAGGTACGTCTGTAGATTGCAAATAATCCTGAGAGCCATGCACCATCATGCTAAATAAAAGCTAAGTGCTGAAAAGAGCAACCCAATATTTTACTTTCTAACTGGAACTTACTGACTCCTTTTCACCAAGTGTTGCACTATAGAATAGAATTCTTTATTGTCCAAGTGTGATTGGGACACACAAGGAATTTGAATAAGCTCTCAGTGTAAATGCCAGCAACAAGTGAAAATCATGATCA